AATTATTAAATCAAATAATCACGTATTAATTTACCTTGGGTAATAACCAGGATATTACAGTGGTGGATCTATTCATTCTGACAATCAGCACTGATCGGAGAACATGATAGATTTATTTGATTTGTTAATTCCTTCATCGAGAAAGGGTATGGAGTGGTTGTTGATGGAGAAATTCGAAAGTTCAATTACGATCATAATTACGATGACGGTGAAGATCCAGATGTGGAGGAGATGAAGGATTCATTGAAGATGTTATTTGCATTTGAGAATGGTGATGAAGCAAGGAGAAAGATCGCGGTGGCATTTCGGGAATCATGGCAGCGCTTGATCAAAGATGGTGCATCCTTGTCGTCGTCGTCGGGTTTTAAGCGACAGTTAATGGCTCAGTTGCGTGACCAAGGTTTCTATGCCAGTACACCCTTTTTGTGGAAAGTAACTCAATCATGAACATGGATTTGTATATTTATTTGATAATTTTTATTTAGAATTAATTTCTCGGTTAATGTAAAATTCATGTTTGATAATCAAAATTGTGACGATTTTTTTCTATATTTTTTTTAATTATGTCTTATATATCACATAAATGTTCCTTATGTTTTTTTTCTAGTTATGTTATTTAAGCTATAACTAGTTTATCAGTTAACATTACTCATAGTTTTACGTTTATGAATTTATAAAGTAAAACCTTTGAAGCTCAAAGTTGTTCTTAAATATTCTTATTTTATTCTTGAGACTTCATAACTTTCTTCATAAAATCACTATAATTTGGTTATTCATAACTAGATTATTAGTGTTATTGAGAGATATGAGATCAACATTTATCCCGATGATTTAATTTAACTTGTATTTGTATAGGACTTTGCAAATCAAAATGCGGAAATAACGGTAGGCTTCAATCAAGTTACTACGAATACATGGACATCAATATCAACAGAACCTGCTACATAACAAATGTATTTCTGGCAGGAGCTCAAATGTATTAGGATTAGTGCCAATAATTTGTTTGTTACACGATAGACCCCAGAGTTTGTATTTTCGTAGCATATTGATCCTTGCCACTAATGGTCGTTATGATGCATCTGTTAAGTGAGGGACATTTTGATCTTTTTCTAATTCCTACCATTTTCTATTTAAATATTTACTAGAAAGGTACTCGTGAAATGCATCGAGATAAATCTTGATTTTAATATTTTATCTCAGTCGATGTTATAGTATGGTCTTAGGTGATTTTGAAAAAAAAACGATAATGTTTTTATTTTTAAATAAAATATAAATTTGAAGACATCATAAAAATTTGACAAAAATATATCAATATTAGTATCAAATTAACTATTTAAAATTATTATTTTTTGGGTAACTTCTTAATTCAATATTTTTTATTATAATTTAATTTAGGTTCTAAGTAGTTTATATTTGGTTTAATAATATAATTTTCTTATAAATATAATAATTAATTATTTTGTTAGAACTCAATAATTATCCTAATTATATTTTAGATTTTTTATATTTTAAAATGAGATGTTTATCCTCTATTCATTATGTTTATCTGCAGTTAGTTACACGAATTTAAATACGAAGTTTTAATAAGTTATACATATACATAATATACCTTTAATCTTGAATTTTAAGTAATATGTATCAATAAACAATACTTTATATATAAAAAATGATTTTTAAAAGTTTTTATTAAATGTTTTATAATATAGTATAGATAATTTAAATATTTGACATATAAATAATTTTAATTACTTTTAATTTTTTGGACGTAGGGGTTGTTTTGTTGCCATGATATTTTGCGGATACGTCGAAAGAGAGACACCACCGCCCCCTTTGCAGAGAGAGAAAATAAAAACCATCGAACAACCTCCGACGACGGATCCAACCACCACCGTGTAGCCACCGATTGGCGTTAATAAATCACAGATGGAAGGTGTTGGAGCTCGACTTGGCCGTTCCTCAACTCGTTACGGACCAGCCACCGTGTTTACAGGTCCGGTGAGGAAGTGGAAGAAGAAGTGGATCCACGTAACGCCTCCCAATTCCGCCGCAGCATCGTCGAATGATAAGCAGCATCATCATCATCAACAACAACAACACCAATCTAACGGAAATTCTTCTTCTTCTAATGGTAACAATGTTGATGCCTCTCATATTTTGCTTTATAAGTGGACGCCAATTAGTCAAAGTCATAACAGCTCCTCCGCCAACGACAATAGCAATGGTGACGCCAAGGAAGACACCGGTGCCGTCGAGGTGGACGAAGAGCCGCCTCGACGTAAGATGAAGTATATTCCGGTATTTATCCATCACTTGTCTTTTGAATTTTTGTTTGATTAATTTGACTTGGTCCGATCTGATTGTTAGATTGTGATGTTTGTCTTTTTCTGTTCGTGTGTAATATGTATATTTGTACACGTGGGTCTAAATTTAAACAATTGTTTTCAGAAACAGGTCATATCTTAGTTGAAACAAAGGTAAAATATAGCAGACTTCGTGTATAGAAATTGAATCCAAATTGTAATTGGAGAGTTTGTAGACCTATCGTAAAGAACAGTGATTTGAATTTTATTGGATTTGAAATGCGAAAGTTATAAAATCGACTGGGATATGTATGTATATCAGGTCCAAAATTTGAATTGAGCTTGCTTAATCGAATATTAAGACATTCTTCAAATTCCAGTTTATAAGATGTATCTATCTATAAGGAAAATTGTGGGGTTTCCATGGATTGGTTAACTTAAGGTACAGATGCAAAATAGTTATCAGGTCCAAAATTTGAATTGAGCTTGCTTAATCGAAGATTAAGACATTCTTCAAATTCCAGTCTATAAGATGCATCTATCTATAAGGAAAATTGTGGGGTTTCCATGGATTGGTTAACTTAAGGTACAGATGCAAAATAGTTATCAGATTGAATTTGTTGAGCGTAGTATGTGTGGTCTGGAATTGGAAGGGAGGCACACTTTATTTGATAGTTAGGACAGACTTCACCTTGAATTCAAGTTAAAGGGCATGAGGTTATTGACGATAATGAGAGACAGGAAAGTGTTTGCATTGTATTTCTTATCATGCCTGTGAAGTACACAAGTTCTAAGTTATATATACACACTATAGAGGGTAGGAGGTTGTTAAGTTTGTTACAAAAATATGCTAGACTAACAGGCTGTGATGACTTACATAATACTCTAACATCCCCCCACAAGCTGAATGGATAGACGTGAAGCTTGGATCATGAACAGGGGAGGACCCACATGGATAGATACGGTGACTCGGGAGTCGGGTTACCACTTCATAGTTCTGTCATAAGGGGAAAAATTACGTTTCTGAAGGGTGCCACCATATAGTTTTTTGAAACTAAAATGTTAGAGTGTTGACACAAGACTGTACGGCTAAGATGGTAAATGCTCCTGCTTTTGTACAAAAGGCTATATTAGTATCGATGGAAGTGCTTAGATGTCTTAGGTGAATAGTGGGTCACTCAATGATGGACTTGGAAGCCGTTAAAGTACAATATGTTCCTAAGGACTATGATACCACTGTTTAGCAAAGAATGCCTTCGCCATCCATCTGCTAAAATGCATGTGGCTTGACCACTTCATCTCTTTGATGTTTATTCTAGAAATACCACCTCTGATTTTCAAACATATTTTTTGTGAACTAACATCACCTTGAATAGATATGGGCTGCCCATAATGGGCAAAACAAACAAAATGCACCGAAGCTTTGGAAGATCATTGTATTTGTATATTTTCTGAAAACATAAAGGCTATGTTTGGCAAAATGGCTGATAAGCTAGCTGTTGGCTGCTGATAAACTGATCATGTTTGACAAAACTAGCTGACAAGCTAGTTGACAAATGTAAAATCAAAATCACCAAAAAGGGCATGTTTACTTTTTTTTCACTTCAACTTGAATCATCCCTGGGCTGCCGAAGTATGGATTGTTGTTTCTTGCAGTGACGTACACAGTAAGGGTTCCTTTTTTGTTGGATTATGGTTTCTTATCGATGGCTTATCAGGTAGCTGTACTGGAGGAACAAAATAATGAGGCAGCAGAGGCGCAGACCGATGAACCTAAACCCACCGAAACCAACCCACATACTGCATCTGAGCCATCTTTGAAGGATGAAAAACCCGACATTAATGATGTGCCAATAGAAGAGAATCAGGTAAACACATTGCATTTATAAAACTTAAATAAATGAAAATTTATTCTAGTCTATTTTGGCTTTGAGTAATTAACTTTTCCAATCATCATACTTCACTTTTCGTTGCAAACAAATCATTATTCTTGCAGAAATGTTAGACCAACACTAAACTTTTAAATAAATTAGTGGTTATGGACATTAAATGTCAAATGTATGTTAGGTTTGCATTTACATGTCCACAAATTCTCCATGGTTGCTAAATTTTAAGGGTTTCTTTTGCATTTATGGTCAGTTTGCAACAAAAACAAGTACAATAGTTGAAAAGGTTGCACTCTTTTTGGCTTTTAAGTTCAGTCCATCATTTTTATAGTTATATAATATTTGTTTTACCGCAAATACTCATGCACACCCGTTTGGACCCTTGATTCTGGCTGGGCTTTACCGCTGGTAACTTGGTTACTGCTAATGGCCTGGACAAATGACCCTAAGGGCCTGTTTATTAGCAGCTTAACGTGCTTAATGGGACTCATCGCTTATTCAATCAGCTATATATCATTGTTTGGTAGTGGCTTAATGATATAAAAATTGGCTTATTTAGTAAGCTTCTATGGGGGTGCATTATGCAGAAAACTAAGTTTTTTCCCAGACCTGCCATTCCAATTAAAAAAACGCTCCTTCCATCTATGAAAAAACATCCCAAACAAAAACTTTTCCAATCCATACTGACAAATTAATCCACACAAACAGTTTTATTGATACGAGACTTAATGAAAAACCAATCAAATAGCCCCTAAATTATGTGTAATAATTCATTCGGATCAACATATATAAGAATAATATTTAAGGGTTGGGTTCCAGTGAGAAGGAGAGTTAAGGTAAGAAGCATAAGAAGAAATCTCCACCCTTGGATGTACATTAGGATGAGATGCATCAAGATACAATAGATCAATCTCCGTATCAAGCGCGATTCATGGGTGAGTTTGAGATTGAGGGGGATCAAGGGTCTACATCCATTCTTACGCTTCTCACTTTAACCGTCTTTCTCACACGATCCTTCGCCTAATATTTAAATCAATATATATGCCATATATATATATATATCCTATATTCAGTTTGTGTTTGCTGCTTTTTGGAAGAAATCTGAATATATTTATTTATTGTTGTTTCAGGAGGTTAGTGAAAATATGGAAGTAGAAAGAGAAGATGTTAAGAAAAGTAATAGTTGTAGTAGTGGTGGTGTGGGTTTAAGTTTGAATCTAAATGCTTCTGATGGTGATCAAGAATCTGAAGAAGCAAAAGACCAAAGGAATGGTGATGTGGATAAAAGGAGTGAATAGCAAATCATCAACTATTTTAGAGTAAAAACCATGTTTTCCGTCTCCGTGGTTTGTTGAAAATTGCTATTTTTCATCTCTGTGATCTCTAAATTACGGTTTTCGTTACTATGGTTTACAATTAATTCATGTTAAAGTCCCCGATACTTAACGGTAAATTATTGATGGAGTTAATCTCAGGGACGATAACAACAATGAATTGCAAACTAAAGGGATGAAACCGTAATTTTAATAAACCACGGGCACGAAAAATACATGGGTTTACTTGTTATTTTAACTCTTTACAGAAATGATTTGGAAACGGTACCATCAAAAGTGCATCAATTTTCACATTCTTTTTTATAATTTATATATTACTATTGACAAATTGTATGACATGTGAACTTCCGAGTGAAATGTTTCTGTACTCGAATTTTTGTTAACAAAATGGAACGCTCAAATTTTGTGAATCACGTTCTCTCGAAATCCCAGTAATACGGAATTGTGTTGGAAATGTAAAAAAAGGAAGACTTCAACGTTGGTGCGGAGTGGAGTGTGAAATTGGCAAGTATGGCCACGTCTATGGATGTTCCAAAGTGAAATATGGAATACGATTGAATTATACATGTTTTAACCTTCATTCCAGTTATACATGTTTTAGCTTAGTTATAACGTATTAAACTTTACTCCTTTAACTAATTTGACATTTTTTATTATGTCTTTCGAAGAATGTTTAAAAAAATGATTCTATCAAAATTTATCATTGATGAAATTATAATAAAAAAATATTTCTACTTATAATTAATTATTTTTGAAAAGTTGTTCAAATTTAAAAGAAATCTACTTTCTTTTTCTGGCTTACTTCATTCTAAAGGAATTTTAATGTTTTATTTTAAAGAAAATTTTAAAAAATTATATATTTAATAATGCTTTTATTAAAAAATAATTTAAAGCTAAATCCTTTAAAATGATAAATAATCTATACTATATTATAAAGTATTTGACCAAAACTCTTAAAAACTATTTTTAATGCATGAAATATTGTTAATTGATGTATATTACTTAAAATTTAAGATTAGAAGTAAATTCTACATAAAAACAATTTATGAAGGCTTCATATTTATAACTAACTACAGATAAACAAAATTAAATATAAAATAAACTTCTAATTTTAAATATAAAAAATATAAAATATAATTAAAATACTCGTTGAGATCTAATAGAATGTTTAATTATTATCTTTATAAAAAAATTATATTATTAACTCAATTATAAAGTCTTTAATTTTATATTTTTCTCAAAACTACTGATGCATTTAGTTTACAGGAATAAAATGAAATTGAGGAAATTTGAATATAAAATCTATTCCAATGCCGTATTTGGTTTGCTAAGTGTACAAGGATTTGGAAATGGGCTGGATTTAAAATCCAAATCCGGGCGGTATCTTATAAAATCTCTTCTTCGACGCTTCATGCCCTAACTCCCCACTGCTCTCGCCGGTGCTCTCCTCGTCTTCTCCTCTTCGTCCCGCTTGAACCGGTGCTCATCCTCTTCGCCGCCTTCTCTCATCATTGCAATCGCCGGTGCTCTCTCCTCCTCTTCGCCGCCTTCTCTCATCAATCAGCAGGTAAGACTTCCCTTTCCAATCTTCTGGTAATTACATTACATATTTTACAGTTTGAAAGATTAACATGTCTCCTTCCCAAATATGCATCCTATTTATTTTCAATGTACGAACATATATATGTAATGCCCATTGATTCTGGTTTGGTGTGGTGAGTAAATGGTAGTTGTTTTAGTGCATTGTGTTAGAATTGGCATGGATGTTTTATTTGATTATAAACAGCTCAACTGATAGTTGCTTTAGCCCATTGATTCTGGTTTTGTGTGGTGAGTAGATGGTGGTTGCTTTAGCCCATTGATTCTGGTTTGGTTTGGTGAGTAAATGAATGTATTGTATTATGTCATTGAGCTACATTTCCCTCTTTCTTGTGGCTTATTGGTTTCCTGGGAACGTATTATAAGATCGAAAAAAAAAAAATGAAACGGAACATTCAAATTGAGATATTGTAGTAATATAAAACTTAATCATTCAGAAGAGGTGGTGAAATTGAACAACAGTGAGAGACAACCCTTTTCCTGGGAGACGACCACAGCTGAACGCCTGGCCGCCGACTGCTCGCCGGACTGCCGCCCCTGGACAATCAATTTCTCACTATAAAGAGGGTAAATACTTTATCTATTGTCCATATCTTCAGTTTAATTTACTTTTTATTGTTTGGGGTCTAGAACAAACCCTAATTCGACCTACTTCCATCAATTCTACTCAACTTATTTGGTTCTGTTTCTTCCTTTGCAAATTGCAATATCCTTATGCTTCATGTTGAACTATTGCGAATTTCAATACCCTGTTTACTGTCAACTAGTTTATGTTTACATAGCCTCACCCTGAGCTAAAATCCTGCCTCAACTTGTATTAATGATCTAGGATTTCGGTGACCTTCTCGCACTGTTGAAAAGGGTGCCTCTCTTTTACTAAGCTTTCCTACATATATTCAAATCACTACACAGAATTTCATATACATATATATTATATGTTCTGTTTTGAGGGAAATAGATAAGGACAAGATGTTTTGATAAATTATCTGCTGCTTAAGTATATATGAAGCTCTACTGGTTTTTTATGGATGCTAACTGTTTGATAAAATCTGTCAATGAACAACACATGCGTGTACCTGCTGTATTCTATTTTCTTGTCAGTCAACAACACATGCTTGTAACACATAGGTAGATTAAGTTTCTTTCAATCTTCTTTTTGAAGTAGACCGTATAATGGAAGCTTGATTAACATTGCAAATTTGATAGACCTTGAGGTACTTTATTCTTAGACACTTACACAGATATATGTTCTTTGGTACATGATTGTGTAATTGTGTATGTTTCTGTATTTTGAAGTAAAATTTGTTTAGGTACATGGGTTTTGATATCATAAATTAAAGGGAATCCTTTGTTGCCGAGGAGAGGGTGTATAGATTTTGAGGAGAGGGCGTTTGGTTTTATGGAATGTTTTTGAGGGATTTGGATTTCGTGGAAGGATTTGGTATCTTTGGTTTGTAGGATTTGGAATGGAATTGAATTCCATTTTTATAGATGATTTATAAAAACAATATATAAATAATTAAATTACGTTTCATTAATTGATCATTTCAAAACAAATGTTTTAACATATTTTAAAATATTATTACAAACAAATCCTACGAAATCCCATGAAATAACAACTACCCCCAAATCTAGTGCTTGATTTATTGAATGTGTTTATCGATCACTTGTACTTAACCATTTTCTTACGTACTGTACCAGTATGCTATAGCCTGAGTTTTGAATAGAACTCATGGATTCACAGAACCAGAATGCATCATTGCAGCGTCTCCAAACTGTTGAGAAGGTAATATACACGTAATGCATTATTACTTGAAATCAAAAGTGGATTAAGAAGTTAATACCTTAGTTCATACAATGTATTTAAATTGGATGCTAAGTTATGGGGTTATTCTCAGAGGATCGTTAGAGTATTGGAACTTGCTGGTGGGGTGATGGAAGAATTCTCGAACCCTAGTGGACCCAGGAAGGAATTGGTCAACAATCATTGCAGCGAGTTCATGCAATTAATAAAGGTTTTAACTTTTGATGGTTTACTCCATACCAGTACCTATTGTTCTATTCATTTTATACATGCGCATACTTTGTGTTGCATTTTTCCTTTGCATGCCATGAAATGAGGTTGACTTTATAAAATTTAAGCTTGTTTCCATGATTTTAATCTCTCCACATTTTCTAAACAATTTATGATGTTGGCTTCTGCTTGGTAATCCTTAATCTGTATTTGTTGTTGATCTACAATGAAAAAGGCACACAGTGTTAGAAATATGTAATTATTACAATTTTTAATTAACTAAATGACAATTATACCCTTAACAGTAGAGGGAGTAATGAATTCCTCCACCTCATAATTAAGGGTAGAATTGGAAAGTAGGCACCTATTTTTCAAGTGGACACTATTTTTGGGGCGAACTAAAATACAAATAAGGACACTTGTTTTGGGACCGAGGGAGTATTTGTTATTTAAATTGTAAAGCTTAAACATATCATCTTATTCTCGTATCATGTTCATCAGGATATACAAGTGACTCTTAGGGAAGAAATTAAAAGCGCTTGCGAGTACCGTCCATTTGAGAAGTGTGATTACATAGCGCGAATATCAAATGAAATCTGCTGCAAGAAAGTGGAATATGTTCTTGAGAAATTGGATGGGATGAAAGAAACCATCGATCAATATCATCGAGCAACTTGAGTCATGCAGGCTGGCTGATATATTGTAAGTTTCTTATTTGACCATTTTATGATCTATAAGACATTTGATTTACCTTCGTACATGGATTATTGTTGCAATCAAACTATTGTTCTTTTAAAAATGCAAGAAGACGCTACTATTTTTTTACAAACATGAATGATTCTCGTAAAAGAACGTTCAAGTACGATGGTATTTTTGTGTGTACGTATTTCACTATTTGCCCAAATTGACACAAGTGTTTTTTGGCATTTTGATAAAAGCAATGGTTAGTTTGAAAGTTGCAACAAGAAGCCACTCAATGTGTTCCCAATATGGATTTAGTTGTGGTTTTTATACTTCAGAAGTGGGAAATTGACCAAACTATTTGCAAGCCAATAACGAGATTTCACAAGCCAAAAGGACATTTTGCAAACTGGTAAAGAAGTACATTTCGAAATCTCGGCTATTTTGGTCAAATTAAAAAGGGAAAAGTTTACGAAAACCCAACAAACTTTTCTATTTTGAATGGTTTAGTCTCTAAACTATTTTTTGAATGAAAAAACCATTAAACCTTTTTTTTTTTTTTTGATTGATTAAGTCCCTAAACATATTTTTAATAAATGAACCATTGCACTTTTAAAAATTGGTTACTTACGTCATTCTAACCGAAAAACGTTACATTAACCGACTAGTAAAAGTTCAATGGTTTATTTACTTATTTTAAAAAATTCAGGGTCTTTATCATTCAAAATGTGAAAGTTTAATGGTTTTTTCATTCAAAAAATTAGTTCATGGATTTAATCATTTATTCAAAATGAAAAAGTTTATTGGTTTTTTCGTTGAAAAAAGTTGGTTCAACTACTAAACAATTCAAAACCAGAAAGTTTGTTGGTTTTTTTTTTTTTGCACTTTTCCCGATTAAAAAAGGTAAAGTAAAAAGTGAAAAAATGTTGTCCAATAGTTTGGTCAATTCCCTCAGATTTGAGGCCTTGACTGATGGCATAGTGTTGTTCCTTTTGCAGGAGTGCAAGATTGATTGGATGCATATTGTTTTCAAAGGAAAGTGATTACTTTTTTGTACTAAAAAGAAGAAAAAGTTGTTAATTGTAGCTCAAAGGTTCTGTAATTGCAATATCCCAACAATACTTGCATTTAATATTTTATGTGAAATGATGTGAGAGAAATAATCGCTTGGTGAAGTCGAGTCCCTAGGTGGCTCTCGGTTCTTGTGCATGTTGGGGGATTTGGTGGCAGCTGCTATAATTTTGTGCACTGGATACGTACTTGTATGATATAAAAGAATGGAAGGAGGTTGAATTTGATGTGCGTGGTATTCGGCATCCATAGGTGTAGCCAAAGTATATACGAGTGGGCTGGTTGTGGATCCTGAACACAAAAGAACATTCAATTTCAACCGTTTCTTCATCATAATAATTCTATCATCTTATTTCAGTTTACTTTTATTTTGGTTTTAAGTTCATGTTTGATAAATTATAAGCTAATTTCTTTTTTGAATTTATTAAGAAAGTGTTATAACCTAATTTGTTGAAACGTTCAACTCCAAAGAGTTCTTTTGCACCCCCTTCCAATTGTGTTTGTGATTATTATTAGTTTTTTCATTAATTCATAATTAAAAGTAATTATAAATTATTAATTAATATTATTTTTTAATTATCATTTAATGTTAATCATATTAGATATTTTATATTATTGTTATTGAATGATTTGGTCGGCCAAAAATTGAATATAGGATCTTTAGTATTGTTTATAAAAATAATTTATTGACTTATTTCGATATAATATTAATAATAAGTATTTTTGAGTGTTTAGATAAATAATTTATACTGATGTCAAACCGATAATAAAGAGTTTTTATTATAATAAGTTGATAAGCAGTCAAACTAGTCCAGTAATAAGTTTTTCATTCGTTGAAGATTTTTCTGACGAGCAATATGCAAGCGGACTCGAAAACCTGAAGAAAGCATAGCCCAATAAGAAGAGTAGAGCCCCAAATTGTCAACCATGGCCGACTGAGTCTACTTCTACCTCCATCAAAACCAATTGTACTCATCACAACCTTCCCCAAAAAGCTTTTTATTTCTCCATCGTCGTCAATGGCATCATCAGCTGCTAGTCGAAGCTTCATTTTATGGCTTCACGGTCTTGGTGACTCCGGCCCGGCCAATGAACCCATCAAGACCTTTTTCACTTCCCCTCTCTTCACGAATACTCGATGGTCTTTTCCTTCTGCTCCTTCTCAACCTGTCACCTGCAATTGTAAGTAAACACTCGATTTTCACCTCTCATTTCTGGCTTTATCATCAAAATCACGACGGATCTTATGCAGGAGTAATTTACCTTTTTAATTTATATTGCTGCGGTGCTTGCTGCCATTATAAAATTCAGACCAATTATTTTGACATTTTCCAATAATGTCTTGTTGGGTGGTGTTTAAAGCATTCCTGCAATTATACTAGCTCACGAATTCAATCAGTTTTTCCCACAATTTTGTGGGTTTCAGATGCTGGGTTTCCATTTGCTTCTCTTAGTTGTTGTTATTATAGACTATGGGGCTGTTTAGTTGGTTTCCATTAGGTCACGTATAAATAAAGTTCTGTATGGATTAATCCGTATGTGGGGAAAGTTTTTGTTTGAGAGGGTTTTTTTATCATGTTTTTTAATTGGAACGGGAGGTTTGGAAAAAAATTGGCATTCCGCATAAAGCTCCCCCGTGGAAGCTTATTGAATAAACCATTTCTATGTCATTTACAGTTAAGACACTACCAAATAGTCATGTATAACCGGCCAAATAAGCTGTGAGTCTCGTTAAGCTGCTAAATGGCTGTCACGTTTTCAATTTTGTTTACTTTGTTTGTAAATTTAACTAAATGTTTGTGGGTAAATGGCCTTATGTTTGTTTGTAAATTTAGCTAAACGGCCCTATGTAGGGATTGTGGGTAAATGGCTGTCGCGTTTTCAATGTTGTTTACTTTGTTTGTAAATTTAACTAAATGTTTGTGTTAACTTTGATATCTTGTAAACCAAAGTTGCAGCTAATAATGTTTAGAATAGTTTGTTGATGCCGAGGAAGATCATGATTGACACACTAATTGAATGTAACAATGGTGTGGATAGTTAGGCATAGACTTTTTCTTTGGATATCTGTCGGCGTGCGGACCAACTTGCGAGACATCTTGAGATAACAGTTAGGAAAATCCTCAGTGGCCCTGAGGAAATACGAATTGGTATGTATGCTCTTCCTGAATTGAAGATACAAGCCTTAAATCGTAATGTAGAGTCATTTTGCTTTAGAAGAAATAAAAGTAGCCGATACATTTCTTTGTTAAATGTTTTCATTGACTACCCCATCAAGAAACCCATCAAGTATTGATGCTAATAAGCTTTAGGAATGATGAACCAAGCTCAAAGAATCTAATGTTTGCGCGAAAGGGTTTTTTAACCGGCAAAACCCCAAAGACAGTCCACGCTGCCCTGCCACGAGAAAATCATGTGAGAGCAAATCATGTATACAACAACTCGCTAGATGCACAGAACCAATCAATTCTGTGGGATAAATGGTTCCCGCTAACGTGTGTTTTACCTTATTTTTTCTATGTTTCAATGTGCCTACCTTCCTTTCTACTGCTTACTGTTGACTAGTCTTAGTTCTTCTTACATTTTTGCTCACTTTTTCACAAGTCAAGGTCTTCATGGAAATAACCGCTCTATCATTTGCGGTAGATGATGTACATCCCGCCCCGGACCCTACTTCCAAGTAGTATATACTGTGATCGTTTGGTTTCGTTTTTCTGGCACCATATATTTTGTATCCAAAAAATTAAAATATCAATCGTTGCATCAAATTCCACAAGCATTTTCCCATGTGCAATTTGCACTTTTGCCAAGTGAATGATAGGAAAAACCAAATCTTCATTGTGCTATAGTCTTCTTATCCTTTACTATACTTCAGTTGTTGTATCCAAGTTGTTAACTCGTGAAGAGCTAAACAAACTATGTGTCAACGGAAAAACAGGGTGTTGGACCCTTTAATTTATTTCTTTTTTCAACGGCCATACATCGTGAAAAGCCACTAAAGTTTATTTTCATCATGTTTAGATATTTACGTCACTAGAAATGTTGTTGAAGCATTAATGATTAAGGGTCTATTCATTAGCAGCTTAATGAGACTTACAACTTATTCGGTCAGCTATAAATAACTGTTTGGTAGTGGCTTAATGATATTGTAAGTGAGTTATTCAATAAGCTTCTAGGAGGGAGCTTTATGCAGAAAACCAAGTTTTTCCCAAACCTGTCCCTCTCAATTAAAAAAATACACTCCTTCCCTCTATGAAAAATCCTCCCAAACAAAAACTTCCCCAATCCATACAGACAGATTAGTTTACACATACAACTTTATCTATGCATGAGTTATTGAAAAATCAATCAAATGACCCCTAAGATGTCCATTTTGTAATGAATTGCTAAATGCTAACAAATAGATAAAAGATGGAAGTCATATTTGACAACCTCTTCAGATACAAGTAATTTAAAGAAATTTGTGATCTTATGATATTTAAGTATTTTCCACTTGTTTATCGTCTTCCATTCTCATATTTCTTCAAAGATTTTGTTTTTAACTCCAATTTTTGCAGATGGTGCTTCGATGCCTTCATGGTTCAACATTCATGAGATACCTATAACATCTGTAAGTTCCTTTCCCTCTTATATCAACCCACCCTATACCACTTAAGGAATCATATATATATATATATATATATATATATATAAAATCTTTTGGGAAGGATGTCCCAGGCTATGCCCATACTAATCCTGGCAAATTGCGACTGTAAGACATCAGTCCTGATAAACTCAGTGACTACAATTGTTATGTTTATCTGCAATCTTTATGGCAGCTTGTGACGATAAGAATAACTTCTCATTTTATTTGTTTAAAAAATAGACTCATTTTTCTCAGAATGCAATACAATGACTTCATATTCTAAAAGGGTGATCAAGTTTTTGAACCATCATTCTTGGCATGTTAAAGACCAACCATTCTTCTTGTGAAAATGCTAAAGAAGAACAATATAATTTGCAAAAAGAAATGATGGACAAACTTCAAAAATATAAGGGTGCGTTTGGTGTCCACTTTGTTTGATAGGTATCGAGATAAAATAATACACAGTCCTCAAGTGTTAAAGACGTATACAAGAAGGGCTAAAAAGGGGCAATCTGAAAGTGGCTAAAACGGTTGGAGGAGAGAGTTTTTTAGAGGAGAGGAGGTGTCGTATGAGGGACATCTTTTGTTTTATGTTATTGAGAATTGGCTTTAGCCTTAGTGCTATGAGAAGGGAAGATTCCCTGGAAAGTTTGCGTGTAATTTCCTTTCGTTCTACTTTCAATCATTGTTCCTGTTCCACATAAAAGTCCTACCAAACGTGGAACAGTGATTCCTATTCTATTATGTCTTGTCCAGTGTACCAAACGCACCTAATTGCTATTCCTATTCACATTTGGTGAGACTTGAACCCCTGACCTGGCCCTTTGGTTTACTTGACACTTTTTTGTTAAAAATCTCCCATTTTTTGCGAGAAGTAGTTTCTTTTTGCACTTGTGCAAGATTGATGGTATGTCTGCAACAAAAAGTCAGCACTCAGCATGATGGTTCAAGAAGTCTGGTCACTCATCACTACTGTGCTGCCATGATCACCGTTTATTAAGCCACAACACCAAGACGTTGGATTGCAGTTCTGTGATAATACTTATAGAATCTGTGAACTTAATTGGACTTCTTTAGAGGATGGTATGGATAGCTGCCGATATAGAACTGACTCGTTTAAAATATACAGAACTCTCCTACGGATGAAAGTACTTTGCTTAAAGCTGTTCAAGGAGTACATTCAATGATCGACAAAGAGCTGGCTGCTGGAACAGACCCTAAGAATGTGTTTGTTTGTGGATTTAGTCAAGGAGGTTCTCTCTCTCTCTCTCTCTCTCTATATATATATATATATATATATAATACATATACAGGGGTAGATTCAAATGAGAAGCATAAATATTTCGAGAAACTTGGCAACCAATTATTCATCATTAATGTCGTAATAGATATTCATGATGAAAATTATTCATAATGAAAATACATGATATTCATGATTATTCATGGTTTTTCGTCATGAATAACACATAACAGTTGGTTTTCAGGTTCTCAAAATCTTTATTATTCACATTTTGGACTTTTTCACACATACACATATATATAGGCCCAAAATCATATAAAAACCTTCTATATGTTAGAAACTTTATGAACCAATATTGACCACACGTTTTTAGCTTCCATAATTATCTTCTTAATTATATTAATTACCTTATCAATATTTTTCTTAAAAAACTCACTTTTTGTTTTAATTTTTGAAACGACAACTTCATTTCACCATGAAACAACACATAGTTGATGTTTGTTGATATGTTTTGATAATACAACATTGTTTCATCAATGAAACAACATAATGGGTTGATCTGTTTGATAATGCAAGGTTGTTTCATGAACGAAACAACACATGAGATTGATCTCTTTTGGGTATAATGTCGTTTCACCAACGAAACATTACATCGATCATGTGATTTAAGTGAGTTCTTTTAAGGAAACAATTGGTAAGGCAATTAATAAGATAATTATTGAAGTTAAAAATGTGTGGTCAATATTGCTTCAGAGTTTCTAACTTATAGACATTTCTATTTGATTTGCCTATATATATATATTGCGTGTGTTATGATCTAATCATTATAAATGTTGCAGGTGCCTTGACCTTGGCCAGTGTTCTGTTATATCCAAAAACTCTTGGAGGAGGTGCAGTGTTCAGTGGATGGGTACCTTTTAGTTCAACTAGCTCCATAATTGAACAAATCACACAAGAGGCGAAAAGGGTATTCCCAAACAACAAATACCTTTTCGTTTAATCGCCTGCTCTGGCTATCTTGAAATCATGAAATGTAACAATGCATGCATTTGCTGTGTACGAACACACACACAATAACCCGATAGATTCTTTCTTTCCACAAAGGGTGTTTAGGGTTTAGGGTCTAGATCTGATGGGAATTTGGTTGAATGTGTATGCAGACACCTATATTGTGGTCTCATGGTATCTCCGATGGAACAGTTTTGTTTGAAGCTGGACAAGCGGGTCCACCATTCCTTCAACAAATCGGCATAAATTGTGAATTTAAGGTATTCCGTCATACATTTTTTCACTCTGCATCAAGATAACGTGTTAGGGTCTGTTTACCTACTACTGACGAGCGCTGATTAGTTCAGCATAGCTAGCTCGGTCAGCATCACTGAGCATTATTATTTCACTTACCGAGTCAGCTCAAGACGTGGTAAACAACCAATTTCGGTTAGCACTTACCCTGACTATTAGCAGCTTATTGAGCTTAATGGAACTGACAGCTTATTTGGTCAACTATATATGACTGTTTGGTAGTGGCTTAATGATATACAAAGTGGCTTATTCAGTAAGCTTTTAGGGTGGAGCTTTACGCAGAAAAACAATTTTTTCCCAAACCTGTCCCTCCCAATTAAAAACCACGCTCCTTTCATCTATGAAAATAACCCTTTCAAACAGAAGTCTTCCCAATCTATACAGACAGAATAATCCATACAGACAACTTTATCCAGGACTTATTGGAAAACCAACCAAACAGCCTCGTTCCCGGTTAGCAATTATCCGATTTGAGTTGGTAAACATCCCCAGTTTCTAAAAGTCTGGCTCGTTTCTGAATCACAGGCATATCCTGGACTAGCCCATTCGATAAATGATCAAGAGCTTAAGAGCTTGGAATCGTGGATCAAATCTCAACTACAAAGTTCTTCCTGAAGGTACGACCATTCTACAATTTTCGCTAGTCAATGAACGTTTTCTTTCATTAAATCTGAACATGGGATGCTGGTACTTAGTTATCAAGCATCCGGGTGTATTTTGACTTTCGAGGTCAAACAACCACTAATCAATTTTCAAAATCGGTATCAATTCTATAAATTTAGTGATAGAATTTGAAACTCCCTGGATTTATATATATAATTTTATTTTATAAATAAACAAAAATGGCTGTTCTTTAAGAAAATCCATATCAATCATGAATCTTGCAAGAAGTGGATTGGACCTCAAAAAGTCAATATGTACATCTCTTAAAGATAGAGATATTTTTTTATGGGGTCGACATAACAAGTTCAATTGTGAACCTTTTCTTTTAAGCCAAATCAAACGAATCAGTATATTACACCCGGAACTAGGGATAGCATAGGAAAAGATGTACGCAGGCATTTCATCCGACTTAAAGAAATAGACAGGCAAGTGTGAAGACACAAATATCATCACTTTTGATGGACTTATTGCGTCCTTCCCCTACAGGTTTGTTATGATTTAGAGTTCTAACCATTACTCCTTCGTCCCAAAATAAATGCTCACGATGAAAAATCCATAGTTATATAAATGTGTATATATTACACTTTTTAATCAACTAAATGACAATATTTACCCTTAATAAGAGAAAGAATAATTAAGGGTATAATTGAAAAGTAGACACTTATCTTGGGACAAATTATAAGGGTGCATTTGGTATCAAGATAAGACAGGACAACTGTTCAGTGTTTGGTAAGACGAGATTGGACTGGTAAAATGACCAATTTACTCATGAATAGTTGTTTATATATATTATATATTTTGATTAGTTTATGTAATTTATTAAATTATAATAAAGTAAATATTTTCTTATAACAAAATATATTATTAAAAAACTTACGTTCTATATGAATAAATTTACACCAAAATTTGAAGTTTATTAGTTTTCTTTTTTTATTTTGTACCTTTTCTATATTATTTTCTATTTATTAGTATTTGATAAATTATATAAATTAACCGACATATTGACAACGTCTAAAAATAATAATCTAAGACAATAATGTGAAAGTTTAAAAATGATAAAAATACAATAAATAAAATATAAATAAGGGATAAAATGTAAAGAGGGAGACATATTTGATATTTTATAAGAGAATTAAGTTTTATTTTAAGGGTATATTGGTAATATATAGGTTTGTACCACCTTGTTCTATTGGCGGTGGTGTTGGAACACATATGTTCCACTTTGTTCTATATAAAAGTTATGTCAAACGTGAAACAATGATCAATGCTCTGTTCTGTTAAACATGAAACAATGTTCAATGTCCTGTTCTGTCATGTTCAGTGTGCCAAACACATCCTTATAGAAATGAGGACACTTATTTTGGCACAAGAGAGATATAGAACTTCACTAAAAAATGGGAAGCATCATTAAGAATGATTTTGACCCCCTTCCTTCATCTTGCCATATAAACAACACACACAAAAGATTCACTAAGGAGCTGTTTACTAGACGCTTACTTGGTAAGTGCTTACCAAATAAATTTCCTTATCGGATAAACATGACAAGGGCCAAGAATCTTACCGGGTAAGAGCGATAAAAATGATGGAGAGTCTTACCTGGTAAGTGAAGATTACGACTCTTACCCAGTAAATTGTTGCATTCAATACGTTTTGATGTATTAAAATTTTACATATTGAAATAAATTATAGTGTTGACTTCTATAGGTAAGCACTTACCGGGTAAGCATTTGGGTAAACAACCCCTAAATCCAAGTTTTATGCCTCTCAACTACTCGATTCCTTTGGTTAGTTTTCAGTTACTGTCAACATCACATGATTGTAAATAATTGCAAATATTAGCAATTGGCTTCGACTTAATATGACAAAGCCACTCTGCTATTTGTGATAGAGGTCGGGTCTGCTTACATTATACCCCTTAGACCTCACTTTCAGGTGCGATATACTGGGCTCGTTTGGTTAGTTATTTCATCTGGTTGTAACATGTGGAAAAAATCCTTACAACATTGTATGTTGGATGATTACTTGCTGAAAATTTGTGTAGCGTCATAATTATTTTTCAGGTAATGTTATACCTCGATTCTTGGAGTAGTTAAAGACAGCCAAATGATGTTTATCCTAACGGTATCTACGAATGATTTAAAGACATCAATGGCCGTTGAAAGAAAAGGTTAAGACCGACTATGATTATTTTAGATATTGCTTTTAGGATCAAGTTTAATAATTTATGTTGTCGATTTGCACGTATTTGGCTTTTATTGGCATCTAAAATCGGTACTTAGAGTGAGATGTGATAATTTGGATTTGTTTGGACTGTTTATTTTCGGTCTTTTTTCTACCTGTTATACCATAATACAAGTGCTTAACTTTCTTAACTCCTATTTTTTTTTTTCAGTTTGCTACATTTAGGGTATGTTTGTTAGCAGTGTAATATGTTTAATGGAACTCGCAACATATTTGGTCATCTAAAGACATAGAAAGTGACTTATTCAGTAAGCTATAGGAAGAGTTTTATGCAAAAAGGCAAGTCCTTTATAAACCTGCCCCTCCCAGTAGAAAAAAACATGTCCCTTCAATCTATGAAAAAACCTCTCAATTCAGATGGAACAATCCACATAGACAACTAATTCATACAAGACTTAGGGGTTGTTCGGTTCATTTTCCATTAAGACCTGTATGGATAAAACTATCTGTATGATATTGAATAAGTTGTTGTTCGGTTGTTGTACTGAATAAACAATATAAATGTCTAAAATGACCATTTTACCTCAGTCTATATTTTAAATAGGTTAGATACAATTAAAAATTTCACATATTTGATCTTGAATATTGCATTTCCTATAGATTACCAACAAGGAAAAACCTAAAAACATGTATAAACACGTTTACATGTATGATGAACAAACGTATAGCAGATATGCATACTACCAACAAGGAAACCAATAAATTGAAACCATGGAGACAAATCACAAGGAGAAATCGAAACCATGGAGAGAAACCACGGGTTTGAAGTAGAAATTGATTACCAGTAAATCGGTATACACAGGTGTGAAGCATAAATCAATTTACCAGTAAATCGATATGAGAGAGCTGATCATCGGGAAGAAGACGTTGAAGCAGAAATTCATAGTCTTGAAGCGTAAGGGTTTGTAGCTAGAAGTGTCTTTTTTTTATTATTATTATTATTATTATTATTATTATTGCAAAGGGTGGTTGGGGAATATTGATGATTGAGGCTATAGGAGTAAGGTTTTTGAGCTGTGCTAATAAGCTTTTAGTTAAGTGAATTAGCCTTAGTCGAACAACCTCTTATAGCTGAACGAATAAGCTATAAGGCTTATAGAGGCCATTAAGTCACAAACGAACAACCCCTTAATGGAAAAATAACGAACCAAACATCAACCCAACTATTTGTTTGTTGGTCGGATCGGGTTTATAGGCCTCTAAAAATGTGATTGTTTATGTTTATGATTTGAAAATAAATTCTTAAATTATTACAAACTCTTAATATTTTATATTTTCATAATTTAAGGAACAAGTTTATTCTTTTACCCTAAAGAAAACAAAAACTATTACACCCATACATTATCACAAAATATGTATATTATATAACAAGTCCAAATCTTGTCTCTCTACCAACATTTTCCCCTTGTTCTTTTCCTCACAAGAGGAACAACCCAAGCACTCTTAATTTAATCTTAAACGAATTTCAGTGTTCAATATATATATATATATATATATATAGAGAGAGAGAGAGAGAGAGAGTGTGTGTGAAGCCAAGTTCAGTTGGGAACGGAATTTCTATTGGGAACTTGGGAACCATCGAGAGCTTGTTACAAGTCTTGAACATTTATTATGAATGTTGTAAAAAACTCATGTCCTTGGCGATTCCCAGATCCGCAATAATATGAGGTTCTCATCCGAGTTTTCACACACACACACACACACACACACACACACACATATATATATATATATATATAGAGAGAGAGAGAGAGAGAGAGAGAGAGAAAGAGAGAGAGGTTCCACCGAGAACATGGTTAAAATAAGGGAGCACGATAACACTTATATCAGATATGAATATTCCCTAGGTTGATATTTACTCAACTATGTGTGGTTTTTAGTATAAAGCACATGCGATATAGGTGTTTTACGTTATTTTATTTTGACTTTATTTTCGTTTAAATCCAGCCCTTATTTAAAGGCAACTCTTATAATAATAAAAAAAACTTTTATATCCAAAATACAATTTAATGCTTCCTAACATCTTGTTTTTAGAACTAAATTAACTTAGAGTAAGCCAAAAAATTGGTTCTTACGGTTTCTCGAAAATCACTTTTCGTCTCCGTAGTTTCAAAGTTACATGATGGTCATCTTGGTTTATAAAAACGTATGGACTTAGTCCCCCTTTCTAATGGTCATTAGAATTTCTGTATAATAAGGGATATTTTCGTCATTCTATCTATTTTTTTTTTGTCTTTTACCCAACAAAAATCGATTTTATGATTTTACCTCTTACATTAAAAACACAAAGTTGATAAACAAACGAAAATCTATCTTATTTAATAGAATATTTTAACGACGTTAAAAGTATGCACCAAATTTAGATGGTTTACAACGGAAAACTGATTCAAATGACTATTTCTCACACCCGAGTTGGTCTTTTAACCATTTCTCCTTTGGATTTACTCAAATGTCACTACTTCCGTAATATCTAGCTCCGTTAAATATGGAAACGGTGACTTGAGTTAAATTTCCTTTTGTGAATCATCTTGTAATTTTGGAGTGGAGTGTCCTTTATTTAATTATTTTTTAATATATAAATAATATTAAAATCAATGTTGTGGCATCACATCAAAATATAGAAGTAAGGCCTACCATAACCCAATCAAAGTAAATGGCATGAATTTGTCCAATAAATTGCCTCTGTTTTGTTGCATGAAATCTGCTAAAACAGTACCTGCGTAGCACCCGATTATTGCCCTTTGGGTCCCACATGTCCCACCCTGCTGGGTCCTACTTATTCTTTTATGTCTTTGCTGCAATCCTCTGTGTCTCTTCTTCGTCACAATCCGTACCATCATTTATGATCAATGGCACCCAAAAAAAAAAGTGTATAGTATATTTATATAATTGCTTCAATATGTATATATATATATATATATATATATATATATATATATATATATATATATATACACTAATAATAATGATATAAAAACTCAATGAGATAACATTTTCATTTTATGAGAACGTGATAACATCTTTTTTATTATAGAAAATAACATGTGATACTATAATACATCACATATAATACAAATGTGATGCTAAACCTGTCGACGAGTTTTGGTGCGATTTAGGTTCCGAGTCAAGTCGCTTTTACACCAGTATGCCCGCTCACGTGTATGATTACATGTAATAAGAGTGTTCTCGATGTGATACTAAATCATAGACGTAAACTTCTTTTGGCGTAACCTAAGTCACATGACACATCGTCCGCACACCATCATGTCCCCTCACATATATTATCACATGTGACAAGAGTGTTCTAGAGTGTTCTCCTGTTCTCATAAAATAGACGAGTTCTCATTTGAACCTCCATATGCGACTTACTATCATGATATAGGGGCTTTTTTTAGTTTTATTTAATTTACATATGATAAAAACGATATTATAATTTATAAATTATCAGCGATCAAATTAATAGAATCATTAGTTCAATTCTTTAAACTGATACTATAACGATTTGTGTTTTTTAGTGTTAAGTTAATTCAAAGCATCGGTTTGCTTGGATCATGGCAACTACACCATTGTATTTAAGGTTGCTCAAGGAAAGATCAAAGTAGATCTATTCAATAAAAAGGGGTACCTGCTGCTCTCAGAACATACTTCAGATATAAAAGAAAGAGAAAAATTCTCTTTGTAAAGAGTTGTGCTCCTGGGCCTAAATGGGTGCACGTATCGTTAGGTTCATAATCTATATCTGGAAAAGATGGTGATGCTTGGGAGTATTATTGTATGCATCAATATTTGATATGTAAGTTGTATATTAAGGGTTGGCATTGTCTCAACTGATTGGACAATCGACACTGTGGAATTTTGTTACTCGGGTAGAAAACAAAAATTGAAATGACATTCTATAGGTCTTGTAGCAAGCAATGAGACCAAAATTAAAACGGTAACATCATTTTTTTGGAAATGTGGACATCCAGACCAGCTTGCGGATGAAGACCACAGTTAAGAAAATCGATGGTCCTTACGATACTCGAGCTGACAACCCATAAAGAGAAACCCTCAAAACTTAGCTTGATTGTCAGCCGAGGACTCTCAATATCAAATGGTACAGTGTTGCTATAAGTATCAACAGTAATGAAGCATAATGGTCATCCAAAGTCGGGAACGTGAGATGAGCTTTTTATCACAAGGTTCCAAAAGATAACGTGACAAGTATAAATCTCGTTATAATGTGACATGTTTATATTTAATTCTTGTGTTTTGGAGCATGTGAACGGGTTACTATTATAACTATAAAGTACTTTCAGTACACGTTCTCTCCTTCTACCTATACCGCAGTTGAAGCGACCTGTAATTAATCTGGCTGTTCGGGTTATCATTGACAAAACAGTCCTTTGGCTATGCCATTTTGGGTTCAAGGTAATCATGACGAATAGTTACCGATTTCAAGAAAAAAGTAGAAGAATATGACCCGTTACGGAGCATACACTACACACATGCCTACGATCATTACATTTTAAAACCAATCAAAATACATAGTTGCATAGCAATAGATTTTGTACAAAGCTTCTATCTCGAGCGTTGAAAAAAAAACCACTATGTGAAAATTATAAAATCACATAGACCAGTGCCTCAAGTCATCCTCAATTACACTCCTATTTCTCCAAATATCTAACTCGGATTTTTTCATTTTGTAACAACAGAACGAGAAAGAAATCAAACACGAAAAATGCATTATCTGAATGTGTTGAAATCGAAGTCTTCCTGTTCTTATTACATTATACTTTATACTTAATGATTTTCTGATATTAAATTTTGAAATTTATGAGTTTTATCTTGATGCTTTGTAAAATAACTAACTATATCCATGCAATGCAAATTATGATATAAATAAAAGTTAATTCAATTATACATTGAAAATATCTGAAATTCATAGGGTTCGATATATATTCTTTATTTAAACGTATTTATCAATTGTTTTTTACAGTTCAAATATAACTTTTGAAGAAGTATATAGAAATGCACAAAAAAGCTCAATCCTGAACTATCCCAATCTGATCTGAAACCAAAAAAGTCGAGCCTGGGCCCAGCTCAACCTTCAAGCTCGACAAGGTAAAAAAATTCAAAGCTACGGTAAAGCCCAAAAACCCTACTTGAAAATGTCCGACCAGACTTTTTTTTAACCGTCGAAGCCTGAAAAGCCAGATTTTTTGTTTGTTTCCTGAAGAACAGGCCTAAAATACCCGAACCTTGTACATGTATATATACACAATATAAACTATAAACAGATTTTAAAAGACCGTTCATTAATTAGGGGTTGTTTGGCATTGTTTATTTGAAACATCTTATGGTTTTCTACAAAAATGCTTATCAACTTATTATAAGTTAGAATGTTTAACTTTTTCAAAAACTTCTTATTACCGGTTTGACACCGGTATAAGTTGTTTGTCCAAACACTTAAAAATATTTATTACCAATATTACACTGAAATAAGTCAATAAATTATTTTTAAAAGCAATCTCAAACATAATTTTTTTTACCAAATAATTTATAGTATTATAGATATGGATAAAAAAAAAATAAGATTTAATAAATAAATAAAAAACAACAAAATGGCTTGAAAGAATTGATTCTTAAATGAACTCAAAACCGCCAACCCTAGCCATCCTTCATCATCATCACTCTCAAACCCTTTCACCATGAAGAAGCTATACAAGAAAAGCACCGTCCACCCATCGCCGCCACCACCCATCGCCGACCACCTCTCTCTTTTGCCGGCAGCCATCTTCACCCTCACCATCGCTCTCTCCCCACAAGACAAAGAAGTCTTAGCCTACCTCCTCTCCTCCTCCACCACCAAAAAAACCACCAAATCCTCCTCCTCCGCCGCCGCCGACCACCCACCTCTCTTCAACTGCAGCTGCTTCCGGTGTTACATGAGCTACTGGGTCCGGTGGGATTCATCGCCAAACCGCCAACTCATCCACGAAATCATCGACGCTTTGGAAGATGGTTTGGTTCGAAACAAGAAAGAGAAAAGCAAGAAAGATAGAAAAAAGAAAGTCATTAGTAGCAGTAGTAATGAAGAAACCAGGTCAACTGAGTCAGACGAGTTAACTCAGTCACCGGAGGTGAGTCCGGCGAATATGGAATCGGTGGTGGAGTATAGAAGTGGTGGTGGTGGTGACGATGAAGAAGAAGGGCCGGTGAGGAAGTTGGTAAGTTTTCTGGGAGAGAGGATTTGGAGTGTTTGGACGTAGGGGTATAATTGTCAAAACAGAATTCCAAAGAAGGTTTGGTTTGAGTTTATTTCACTTTACTACTACTACTTTGATGGAATTACTCATTGGTCCTTTTAAGTTTTTGTTTTGTAAAATATACCCTTTTTTACATTGTAAAAAATTGGTACCTTTTATCTTTATGTGCATTTATGAATCATTTTTGGTTAATTATATTTCATTTATCATTTAAAAGCTATTAATTATATAAATATTGGAATTTAAATTATATTAAAAAGAAATAGTTATTATTGGATGTGAAGGGACTGAAAATGTAATTTAATGATGATGTACAGTGTTTGATGCATGTGTAAAAGCTTGGTCTTACATTTTGCAGCCTTGGGATGCTCACTTGATTGTGACATTTTCAAGTTGTAAATTTTCAAGATAAAATAAATATTATCTTTTCATAAAAAAGTATATGTTTGTTTTTTACAAGCTTTAACTTCAAAAAAATATTGCTTTTTAATAACATAAAGCCTCTAAATATAATACATGGGCAAGACTATTTTTGTGACACATGAATTTTATATTTGAAACTTTACAGTAAAACATTATAAAAATAACTTTCATAGTGTTTTGTTATGAAGTTTCAAGTATAAAAATTATATTTCACGAAAACAATTTTGTCTCATATAAACTCAATCCTAAGTTAATAATTGATTTAGCTAAATTGTATGGTATTTAAAAAAAAATATATATATATATATATATATATTATTTTTTTGGGGACCCTTATCCATTCTCCAAGATTGGGTGGTAATTGCAAAACTCTTATGGTTTTGTATTTTGTTTTCAAAAAAACATTTCAAACCATTTTATTACAACAATGTTTTATTATTATTTTTACATCATATTATGAGCATCTATTGTTTTAATAATAAAAAAGACACAACTTTAAATATACTGATGAACATATCTATCTAAAGTCAATAACATAAAATATGAATCATATTTCATTTTTGTCTCTTTTTTGTCCATCCAAATGTTATTTATATTCATTTTTGGATTATTAAGTCTTTAGATAATTTTTTGGAACAAAAAAGTCTTTGTACATTTCAAAATCTGTTAAAAAATTAATTGAACTTTCTAAAACTTGTTAAATATATTTTTATGACCTATAAAACGGTTAATATGGTAAACTAATGAAAAAAAGTTTGAAAAAAAGCCAATGAACTTTCATATTTTGAACGATTAAGTTCATGAACATTTTTTGGACCAAAAAAATACTTACATCTTTAAAATGAAATAAATATACCAAAAAAGTACTTACATTTAAAAAATAATATTGATAAATTTTATTTTAATTAAAAATAAAAAATATTTTGTCAAAGATTTTCATATTAAAAAAAATTAAAAATGATTATTGATTAAATTTATTTTAATTAAAAA